TCTTACCGGCCAGTGAACTCTGATAAGCTGATACTCTCTCACGTGGACCAGCATTTAACTTGGGAGAGACACCATATAAAGTGACCCCCAAGTATTCAATCACAACCTCCCTTCTTTTTCTTTGGTCCCTGTGTTTATTTGGAGGAGAGACCATGCAGACGCAGGGTGGCCCCCACTTTCTCATAAGCACACAACACTCTCTGCAAAACAGGTAAGCAAACTGCGGCCCAGGCATCTTTACACGGAATTTCCTTAATTTCGGCCTTTTACAGGTGCTATTTGCTTACTGGTCCTCAGAAATCTCATGCTGGTAGAATCCCATTTTAATGATTAGCATCGGTACATCCGGTCTTCTGTGACAAAGATATTTCCAGGTCCCAACAGATGGTCCAGAGGAACAGAGTTCTACTGATCTGGTTTCAATAAATCTTGTTAGCAAAAAATTCTATGTAACAGACGTTTTTTACTAGTCCCTGTTAACGTACGGATGATGCTTTCTATCAAAGGTGGTGTGATTTAGGCATTTATTTGTGCTGTTCAGCATAAAGTATTTTTTAATCAATTCACCGATTTAGCAAAATGTTGCTTAAAATCTTTCTTTTTCCATTTTTTTGGTTGTACATTTTCAGAAGGGCTGACAGAAAGTAAAAAGGGAGGTGATTCTCAATATCAGAAGATGAAGATTGGCCACTAGGGTTTTTAGTTAACGTCTCTTTAGGGAAAAAAACCAAAAAATCAAGTTCTTGTAAGTAATACCTTGCTTAGCACAGTATAGCAATAAATCTTCCCTTAAATTAAATTAGAATGTAACTCTACCATCTGAATGTCCTGTTCAGTTGATTAAATGAGGTATTCCCTGCATTGACCTTTTAAGGAAGAGAATATTATTTTTCCTCAATAACCCAAGGTTTAAAAAAAATTTTTTTATCGGAAATATCAATGCTTAGTACTCAAACCACTGCAGTATGATAAATAAAGTATGTCTTAATCACAGAAAATGTGTTAGTTGACTAAAGTTCAGCAGTGATGACCAAATCAGGACTTTTTGTTTTTAAACTGTGTTGACCCTTCTCGACCTAATATTTGCCCATATCGTTGCCAGCGTTAACAGTTCTTAGGCTGTTTAATTGTTTTTAAACAGACGTGCCAACTCTAGTGATTTCTTGAGTCTTGATGGGCATTCCTTTCTTTACATACATATACACCAGGAAATGAAATACCATGACTCCACACTGTGCTAAGGAAAATAATACAAGCGAGAAAATGTTATTTTTAGATAAGACTATTTCCTAAACTGTTCACGCTATCTTACAAATTTGTCCACCATATGCTAAAATATGAACATGGGTGGCCTATTTTTCTTCCTATCATGGACAATACGTCTTTTCTATCTATCCCTCTGTCATTTTCTTTCAGCAACGTTGAATGCAACATTTCATTATAAAGTTCAATAGGACAAGGAAGTGAGCATTTCCGTTAACTGGAAAGAAAAGGGAATTACATAAGAATAAACTTTCAGGGGTCTGCTGAGCCACAAGACAGGCCAAAAGAAGAAACAGAACAGCCTGTGAGCTTCTTGAGAAAGAGCAGTTCTGATTCTGGGTGATCCTGACATAGTTCTCTTTCTAGTCAAGTGTATCAGCATTTTGACTTCTCCCTTTTGTAAAAATAACCCTTTTCTCCTTCTTGTACTTCAAGGAAATTGCTCCCATAATTTGTAGATTTTTAATACTCATTCCGCATAAATGTAATCTGTATATATACTCACTGAAATATTAATACACAGGATAATAGCATCCCGGGCAAAATGGTGTTTTAGGAATTTATAGACTCAGGACCTTCAGGTTATGAAAGAGTTACTTTGCCTTTCGTGGGCAACCATTAGTTTAAAAGGTTATTTGATCCTCTAGATTCTAGAATATCTTAGAATTAAGCCCTGGACCATGTGTTATACAAAAGCCTTCCCTAGTATTCTGTGTGTTCTAAGCTAACATCTCATTTTATTAATGTTGTTCAGGAGAACGTATTATATTTACAGGGTATGTATTCAAGTCAAAGGTATTCGGTTAAATACAACTTAAGGTTGTACAGTCATGCATTAATTATTACTACAGCAAAAACAACCTTCTATAATACTAAATGATGAGAATGGGACATCTAAAATGCCTAACGTTCAGCCACCAAACCAAATGCTGTCAACTTCCATGTTTTGGGGATTTTCCTGGATGTAGATGGGAAAAGGTACAAATGAGGAATTTAGAATTACTTCTCTTCTTCCAAAACTACAGGCCATTCAAGCATACTATGCTCTCTGGACCTCTGAAGAGAGTTTTACTAACCATGGGCCTGCTACAGACAAGGGGTGTTTATCAGGAAATCTCACGTAATAGATCACCTCCACCTTTGGAGATGTGAGTTTTACACTAGGAGATAAACTGACCTTTTGGATAAGGTGTCTGACCTGTCCCCTGCTGAGAGCTATTTCTCTCCCCAGACAGCTGCTGATACAAACAAACTGGGAGGCAGGACTTTGACAAATGAAGCTCAACCACAATCCTTTGTTTCCCTGAAGGCAAAAAGCTGGCATTCCACAAGCTCATTAGGGGGCCATGAATTACTGCGAGGCCAGGCCTGCACTTCCTCCTCCCTGGCAATCCCTGTGGCCGCACGTTCCCATGATCTGCGGGGCCAGATTATGCCGTCCACAGTTCACATTCCATGCTGTCAGGGTACTCTAAAAAATACATAATATTTACAGCAGAGTTCAAAGCCAGCAGAAGAACTGGGAGAAAAATGGATCTTCAGAGTAAGTAGACCAGACAATGGAATCCAATGGATCTGTGGTGGTTAAATCATTTTTCATGGGACTCCAGAAATCTTTGCGAGTAGATATGAATCTGCATTTATCAAAACCCCCAAATTCCAATACCAAATGAAGGGCACAGAAAAGTAAGAAAGAAAAAATGGGACAAAGTATAGTTTCTACAACCTGAAAACATTTCATTCAACAAATTCAGTGAACACTCAGTTACTGGTCATCTACCACGTTCCAGGTCTCCTGCTAAGGCTCTGTAAAAAAGCCTTAGTCAAAAAAAAAAAAAATATGACTACTACTGTTTTATAGCAAGAACTTGGGAAACCTAAATAAAAGGGGCCCAGAAGTCTCCTTAGGCAAATATTCAAACTGAGCTGAAGGCACTATATTTTAGAATCAGGGGTCAGCTAACTACAATCCATTGGCTAGATCCAGCCCTCTGCTTGTTTTTGCATGGCTTGCGAGCTAAGAATGACTTTTACGTTCTTAAAAGGTTGGGAAAAAAAATTAAAAGAAAAATAATGTTTCACAATACAGGAAACTTTATACAAAATTCAAATTTCCGAGTGTGTAAAGTTTTATTGGAACACTGCCACGCTCATTCACTTATCTACTGCCTATGGACGCTTCTGCGCTTAGAAAGCGAGAGTTGAGTAATTGCAACAGAGACAGTATGGCCTGCAAAACCCGAGATGTTTGGTGTCTGGCCCTTGATGGAAAATGTTTGCAGACCCTTGTTTAGACTATAAAATAATTTTTGCTTTTGCTGAACTATCTGGACATATGCCTTAGGCTTTGTTAGAGAGCCTTAGAAATTCACAAGGAGAGCAAAGACAAAGCAGCTAAGACTTGAAAAAGCAGTCAATGCCTGAACTTGACCAAGCTAGACAAGTACAGGTGGATCACCAAACTGAAGTAGTTCATGTTGCATTTACAGATCAGACCCCCAAAGCATGAGAAACCATACATGTTCCTTCGTAGAAGAAAGGTATGATTTATGTTTCTTTTTAATACCAATTTTGCTAATTTCCTACCAATGGGCAAGAATCCTATGCCCTGATGCTGTGTCTTCTTGTGCATGTGGTTTTTGCCTCTAGACCTTGATTCTAAAGTCTGGGCTATCCTGGACCTTCCTCAGCGGGGTGTCAGTAAAACAGAATTCCAGGAGCAATGTCTGTCTTTGAGTGAGAATCCTACTGGTGGATGCTGCAACCCCCCATTCTGTGAAGGCTCCAGGAATAACTCTGCGAGGTCTTGAGGCAATTCAGCCATGCTGGTCAACAGGCATGCTTACAGAAAGGAATGACAAGATTGCAGTTTGTCATTCTATAAGGTTATTAAAACAGTGTAAAGGATTCCCAGCGCTTAAGTCTGTTTATGTTCTTTCCAACACAATATCTTGAGAAGGAAGGAAAGTTGACATGGGATATTTATGTTGTAACACTTCCATAAAAGATATCTCCCTACAGAATAGCATTTTGCCCCTTGAGGGTCAGAGACTAAAACAGCGAGAAAAGATGTCCACATCCGTGTTAGGGCTGCCAGGGTTATCTTGTAGCCATATTCACACCATCATGGTGATTCAAGGTTCTACAGAGACACTTGGGCAACCTGACAAACCTCAATACAATGGCCATGTGTGACACTGGGTCTGGTCTCTGCCTTTTAGTGACCTCTAGGCTTTTTATTTAGTATAGAATATCCTCCTTGCTATTATTATTTTTTTTTAGTAATTTTTTTAAGGTATACTTTTTTGGTGAGGAAGATTGCTCCTGAGCTAACATCTGTTGCCAATCTTCCTCTTTTTTTCTCACCAAAGCCCGAGCACATGGTTGTACATCCTAGCTGTAGGTCATTCTAGTTCTTCTATGTGGGATGCCACCTCAGCATGGCTTGATGAGTGGTGTGTAGGTCCACGCCCAGGATCTGAACTGGCAAACCCCGGGCTCTGAAGTGGAGTGTGTGAATGTAACCACTTGGCCATGGGGCCGGCCCCCTCCTTGCTATTATTATATTTCCTCCACCCAACATATCTGTTTCAATTAACAAGTTGAGAGTTGGTTCTCATCATTAATATATAACATTAATAAATTGCCTTCCTACAAAGGATAGGCAGAATAGTTTCTTTCAATAGAGATGCAACAGAATACACTTTTAAGCAAAAAACAATCTTTTGTAAACTCACCTAGAAAAATCTCCCTTTGCCTCCTGTAGAAGAAAAAATTCAACATCAGTGAAACATTCTCATCCAGTGTTACAGACTTTAAAACACATTCTAGAGTCATGACAACTCTTTTACTCAATAAGCTCAGCTTACAACTGCCATCATCCTGTCTGCTACAGGAATATAATTAAGAAAGGATGCTCTGCATTTTCCACTTGAATGTGAGACACTAAACGTTAGAAAGTTAGATACAAAGAAAGTGATTTGAAATGACAAAATGCAAGTTTCCACCTCTAGGTCCTGGTCTAACTTTTTCCAGTTTAAAGATTCTGAATCTGAACGTGTGTCTAGGCACCGTCTGGCGTGTGCTACCTTTTGTTCTGTCTCATGTTGTGGGCTATTTCCCGATTATACTAAAGACTTTTGGAGGCAGGGACCACAGAACATTTAATAAACCTAGCATATTGCCTTGAACATAGTAGTTGTTCAGTAAATCTTGCTGAAGGAATAAATTAATGGCATCATTTCACTTCATCTTGCCAGTGTTCCTAATATTGCCATTGTTGCTAATATTCGGTAACACCTCTTTTCCACATAGGCTTAAAGGTCTTTCTCTTGTTCGTCCAAGGGGTGTGAAGTGTTCTCTCGGCAATTAATTCTTGCTATTTACTTGGCTTTCTCCAGAGTGCAGGAGGGCACGACACCTGAAGAAAATGGGGCCGCTGGATGATCTCAGTTTCCCGCAGATAGGTTATAACACAATTTTCCTTTGCAGAGAGAGATGCTGTCTTAAAATTTTGGAATACCAGAAGTTCCTATTTACTGCCATGGTGTAGTGTTCCTAATAGCTCTTTCCTGCTTGCGGCAAAAAAATAATAAGGAGACACCAAGCTAGTGGATATGGCAGCCGGCCGTGCATACGTTGTCTTATTCCTCGTTCTTCTGTGTAAAGCCCCGGGATACACAGGTGAGAGGAGAACAACTTACCTGTAAGATATAGGAGGCTAATTCGAACACCACTTCACTGTCCACATCAATCAACTCCTGAAGGAAAAACCAACAAGAAAGGTAAGTCTGATATTTTAACTATGACTTCTTTATGAGAGTTGGATCTCATCATTAATATATAACATTAATAAATTGCCTTCCTACAAGGGATAGGCCTGGTCTAAAAAGAGGCCTGCTCTTCCTTTGCTGAGGAGTTTCCAAGAATTTCAAGTACTTATAGGATGTCTCTGGTCCTCGAGGCAATTTTCCTGAATTACCTTGTCCCAAATGCTCACTGACATCCTTTATACAGCTCTCAGCCAGAATGGACCCAGTGGTCCTGGGCCTACACAGTCATCCCAAAGGCCTCATCTTTAAATCTTGACGAGAAATTAAAGAGTGGACCAGTTCCAAACTTCTTACAAATCTGCTAATCTGATTAACCAATGGAGTAAAGTGGCGTGATAACCAATTGCATTTTCTTTGTCAACTTTACTTCATAACCAATAGTAAGGCTTTATTGAAGGAAATGTTATAATGGGGTTGTAACTCTAAATTAAAATTAAATAAAATGAAAAATACAGTTCCTCAGTTGCATTAGTCGCATTTCTTTCATGCATTCAATAGTTCAATGTAGCTATTGGTTACCATGGTGTCCAAGCAGATATCAAGCATTTCTATTATTGCAGAAAGTTCTCTTGGTCAGCACTGTTAGAGAGACTGAGTTTAAAGATGCTTCTGTCCTATCAGTTCTTCCCTCAATCATTTAATTGTGATCTATGGACATGGTCTTAAGAGGACATAAACCTCTCCTTGGCTTATCTAATATAGATTTTTTATATATAAAATATTTTTATATATTTTATATATATATTATATATTTATATAATATATTTTATATATTTATATTTTATATATTTTATATATAGATATATAATCTAATATATATTTTTTCAATATGTACATAGTTCATTTCTCTTTTCTAAATAGCTTTAGTGAGGTAAAATTGATACACAAAAACCTGCACACGTTCAATATATACAACTTGATGAGTTAGGACCTATGCAGACACCTGGGATTCCATCACCATATTCAAGGTAACAAACATATCCGTCACCTCCAAAACTTTCCTGCATCCCTTTGTGTGTGTGTATGTGTTTTGTGGTAAAAACACTTAACATGAGCTCTATCCTTTTAGCAAATTTTAAGTGCACAACACTGTACTGCTACGTATAGTTCAGATCTTCAAGAGAAACCTAGAGTCCATTAGCATGCAGAATAATAACCAAACCAACCGACATCGTACTTCTGTGGTCAACTTTAAGCAGAAACGTGCAGCTTTCTTTGCTCTCCCTCATAGCACTAGATCCTATAGTGAGCGACCGGAGTACAGAAAGTTAGAGCTAGGACAGAGTTAGACCCCAGCTGGCCCAGCCCCCTGCTTTTACTGAGAACAGAAATCCCAAACCATCAGGGACTTGCCCAAGTCACAAGGCCTTAGTGGCAGTGATGGGACCAGAAACAACTCCCAACCTCTCGTCTAGCATGCGACCTCCCTGAGGGCATGCACTCTCCCAAATCAATTAGGACTCCGTCTCGGCCGACAGGTTCTCAGGACCACATCTGTCATCGAAGTTAGCTAAAACAAGAGTTACTTTTCACTTGTATTATAAACCGAACTCTGAGTCATAGATTTCCCAATTATTTTTCTGTGGTCTGGAACTGGCCCCTGTAATTCAAAACAAGGCACTCAAGCAAGCCTATATCTTTTGTGGGAGGGAGATCATTCAGGCTCTTATGGGCTTAGGAATTTCAAAGATGGATAATAATATTTGCTACCGAACCACCTCAGAAGTGTGGGCTAAGAGAACCAACGAGAACATATGAAAGACTCGGGGTCAATAATTCTTTACGCTTAACCAGCTGAAAGAGCTTTAGGGCCGCTGTAATTGATACAGACTGTCAGGGCTGGATGTGGAGGAATGCCTGGAATCACAGTTCTGGGACTGCAGGGCCCATCAGAATGTAAATCATTTAACAGCGCACCAATGATTTAACAGAAACACTGTCCAGGGTCTGCACAACGGATCATTTCTACTCTATGTCCATTTCCATTCCCACCAATCGACTTCCTGAAGTCGCTCGTGTGTACTTGTCAGTGTATTGGTATGCATGCTCTTCTGTCAAACATTTACGCCTATGTTGCAGCTAATGGTCAACAGTGGACTAATATTTAACATCCCAGGAGGCCTGTCCAACGTGCAACTCAAAACCAACCATCAGGATCAACCCTTTTAAGTGCAAACATAGCTTTTAGTTTATTATTTGATTCATCTGCTAAATGAAAATGTCTATACCTGTGGTGGGGAGCAGGGGTGGGGAAGGTGGAGGGGGTCTTATATTTTATTTCACACAGCCTATTATGCAGTTCCAAGAGAGACCTTTGGATAATCTGGCGGCAAATATTAACTGTCAGGTACCATTCTTCAGAGTAAAGCTATCAAAAGCATGCAATTAAACATCTAACCTGATTTATCCAAGTTCTCTCTCACCATATTTGTCCTCATCCTCAGGGTAAGTGGGAACTAGCGCCTTCAACTGGGGTGAGTTTTCACCTTCTCTGACTCTGACCATCTCCTAGTGATGGTATTAAAAACACTGCGAGTCAAAACGTGGCCAGTAAGAGGGGCAAGGACTAAAGAACGAAGTGGCCCAGACAGCCGACATGCTTGCAAAATCTGATGGAAAAGAAAGCTGCATTATTACCTTTTACCGTTTCTATTTAGTATTGATTGAGTTCAAGCTTCATCTTGTTGTCCGTCCTTGGGGAAGTCAGTACAGAGATCTAAACGGTGCGCGTAAGAACCACTCTAGGAATAGTGGGAAGACACGATCCTAATTGCGAAGAAAATCCTATCCTACCTTGCAGCCTTGGCCTGATTCCCATCTGAGGTCTCCTGTTGATAATATTTTCTCCCTTGTATACCCGGCCGTCCAGGTGACTTTATTTTGAAAATTCCAGTAGCATGGAACAGAGGGCTAGACTTTCTGCCCATGCCACACATTTCCCATTGTCCTTCAACACCTGACAGCCGAGTTCCCCATGCAGAGGCATGAACAGCTGTTTCCAGGGTCCTCCTCTCAGACACGCAGCCATGTTACATGAAAAAGATGACTCTACCTTCTTCTCCTCTGACTTCTCTGGCAACCCAGAGCTTGCTTCTTTCGTGTATCTCTGCTCAAGCACAGGAAATTAACTGGACAAGACCATGAAGAGTGTGTGCAAAAATTCCCTACTCTCCTGGGGCTCTTGGTTTTCCGTGACTGAGGATGAAATGGGAAAGGAGGAGGGGGAACAGAAGACCCTGTAGGGAGGATCTATGGGGTTTCCCATCTGGCACCACCCAGACGCTGGTGGTGTGACATTCTTCTGTATCCCCAACGTTCTTGGAGTCATTTGAGGAGGCGTGTCCCCAGCGCTGTTTGCTGAGCTGGAATCTTGCCTGGGAATGCGGGGTGCTCTGGTGGACATGTAATAATTTTATCTGGAGATTCACTGGTAAGAGGGGATGCTGGTAGAAGAGAATGTGATGTCTTATAGTTGTCATGGTCATTTGGGGTGTAGTTTGGGCATCTGTTTCATTTACTGCTGAATAATTACGAGCCACTTTCTTTGATCTTTTGAAAAATGGTATGGAAAAACAAGACGTGACTATCCACAGAGTGTGTATGTGTGTTCAGAGCAGGGCTGGGGAGGATGGCCCCACTTCCTCCCACTCAGCATCGTTTCATCCCAGGTGATTAAGTAGCTGCAGAAAGAGGCCTGAGGTCATTTATCAGCAGCATAATGGCTAACAATATTCTTAGAAAGATTCCCATCTGAGGGGCTCCAAGACTTCCAAACAAATAGCCCCAAGAGAACCCCAAGCGGCAGGTGTTATGGATGTTCTCCAGGAGTCCTGGGAGCTTGAGGGTGTCTTCAAGAGCCCCTCACTCGGAGGGACTTGCTTGTGGTCTTTCCGCTCAACCAAGAATCTTAACAAAAAGCATCCCTCCATGGTCAGGAATGACAGCAATTCCAACTTTCACATAAGATTAATGAGCTAATTACAACAGGAAATAGGATGAACAACCACATGGTAGGCTGAGAAGATCCCAGTGAGGCCGAACTTTGCAAAGCTCATTCAGAATGACTTGCAGGGCTGGCCCAAGAGTTTCCCTAATGAATCCTCCTCAACCGTTACCATCTTTCTTCTCACCCACAAAACATCTCAAGATTATAATTTCTTGCCATCCTCCTTGAGATCATTTCTACTCCCACCTAAAAGGTCCAGGTTCTAGTTCCAACCTCCCAACAGCTCTGGGACCCTGAATAAATCGCTAGACTTCCTGGAGCTTCGCTGTCCTCAGCAGTAGAACGGGGATAACAATTTCTTTTCCAATTATTTTACTCAGTTTGGTGACAAAATGGGGAAGTGATTTGGAAGCTCAAAGACACACTACAAATACGATATCTGTTATTTATTTTCACACATTGGTTTACGGATAATCTAACTCCACAGTGTTGCCTCTGTTTTTCAGTAATCTTTAGCATTTTTAAGAATCTTTAGTAAGATACATTTTTTTAAAGAGGTGGGCAGCATTGCGTGTGTGTGTGCGCGTGCACATGTATGTGTCAGTCACTGTGTATATCACCCAAGTGGGTCCTGATGCCACATTCAGCCTCCTTGTGGCCGTGTAACTGCCTCACCTCGTTGCACAACTCATAATGACTACACAGAGCTGCCCCCAGGCAAATGGGCTGTGGTGCAGGATAAGACTGATGTGATCTTGCCCAATTCCTCCTTCTTAGCCCTTTGCCAGGTTTTCATCCTTCAAGTCACTTCATGTTGTCTAGTGATCCACTGGGGTACACCCCATGCATGCTGGGCCACCACTCTCATTTTTGGCATAGGGATTTCTCCTGCTGTCTACTGCATACGTGATCCCAAGGAATCTCTTTGAGAGGTCATGGGCAGAGCCAAGATGCTAAGACGATGCAATTTTGTTTCTAGAGG